GTTATAATCACATTTTAAGCTTTATTAAAAAAACCTTGGGATGCATTTATATCTATAAATTATTTATTAAGATGGAAAAATGTAACATTTCTTCAGTGAAGTTCTATAATACAGCTGAGGGGATATTTAACTCTATGGTTGAGACTAACATGTGGACTCATGCCTGCAGGTACAACGTGTTGCACATTTCCAAAGGGATTGAATATCCAGGAGACCTCCGCTGGCCTCTGGCAGGTTGCCTCTTCCTGGCCTGGCTCATTGTCTACGCCTCTTTAGCCAAAGGAATTAAGTCATCAGGAAAGGTAACAGGAAACACAAAGTCTTGTTCTCTGGTCTCTTCGAATAAGAGAACAAATCAAAATAACAAAACCAACTGCAACCTAAAACAGTTAAAATTAATAACAGGATCTAAAGGTTTAAATCTAAAAAAGCATGTTTAGAGAAAATAAAAGTTATCAAAACCACTCTTTACCTCAGGTAGTTTTAACTCATTAGTACTTCATATAAACTGTAGGCAATAACAACAACAATATGTAATTATGTTCATTTAATTCTCACCAATCTCTACAAACCGTTTGCTGAAAGATGAAAGCCACAGAGGCTTTTTTTTAAGTTTTTTTTTAAATCAAAGCCTTTTAGTGATCAGACACTGTGAATCCCTCATTTTGTGTTTTTACTCAATGAGACCTTACTGAGCAGTGATCAAATGTTTCTGAACTGGCAGAAAAAACTGAAATTTTAGAATGTCAAAATAATATCGTTGTAGTATGCTGCCCTCTAGTGGGCATAGGGATGCAACACAGCTAAGGTTTCAGTTGAAAAAAAGAGAAGTAAATACAGGTATTTCTTTCAGCAAAGTTAAGAAAACAAGTAAAGGCCAAACTCATACATATATATATATATACATATGTGTATGTATGTATATGGGAATAAAGTTGTTATATCAGAACTCCTGCAGTCTTGCCACAGTATTAAAATAAGGAATGTTGAGCATCTTGTGAAGTTATACATATATATAAGTATCTGCGTTATGTGTATGAATTTACAACATCAACTCAAGACACACAACTTTGCGGTTAATGACTGCATTAACAGATTTTGTCGTCACTTAAAGTAGATGGAAGAATTTTACACTAACAGTGACTCAAAAGTMGTCATGGACTACTTTATAATCTGTGACACTGACATTTCAACAGCGTGTGTGAGATGACTAAGATTATGACTTTACTGGTAAGATTTTGACTTAATA